CACGGAAACTTTCTTCGACTTTGGAACGATAGGTCGCGGGATCTAGTCCCTCGTGAAATAATAAAACACGGCGCGATACAGTTTCGTTCAAGGATAGAGAAATAATTGCGCGTGGCGAATAAATAATTCCGCGTATTTTCGTCGATCGGGCCGGCCGGCGCATGTGTGCTGATCCACACGGACGCTACTGTGCCTTGGTGCCCCGTGGTACCGTCGGTCGATTCGAGCAATAAACCATCAATAATACAGTCCACCCGCCGCCACGGTTTAACGTATATCTTGTACAACACGCGCAACACGCAACCGTATAGCCGCTTTACATGTCTGGGTGGTAATAGCCCCGCGACTCGGCCATTTTTCCCCGCGACTGCACCGCGACTGCCGCGCACCGCTCCTCGCGATATGTTTTATAGAAATTCAGTCGATCCGCATGCAAACGGCAGGAAACGAATTTTATCGCGCGCGATTGTGCCAGAAACGATATCATTGGCAGGCGAACGGTATCATTTTATCCGAAAAGTCCTAGACCCTTGTCAGATCGATATGTCGAGTGTCACGAAGGTGGAACGGCGAGAGAACGAAAATTCCACCTCGCGAAAAGGGATCGCCGGATCCCTCGACGAATTATTCGCGACACGAGCTTCGTCTTTCCTCCCCTCCTCCCCCTCTACCCCTCTCCATTTTTCCTCGATCAAAATTCCACGAATCTCTGCCGTCTCTGCCGTTTCGGTATCTCTCATTCGAGAACAATATAAACATTTTGTAATCAGCTGTCGAAATAATGAATCCGCGAACGAAGAAGGAACACGTCCAATTATTGATGTCATATGTCAATGAGGGTCATTTTGCATTTGACACAATCGATAATTCACTTGCAAATTAAAATATTACTGCTTTCAAAGAAGTATTTATATACTACAAGCTACAAAATATATTTAAATTGATAAAAATATCACGTAATTTAAAAGGCTAAACAACAGGTAATTACGTTCATTTGATTCCAGCACTTTTTTCCGCGTAAAAAGGTTAATACTTTTTGTTCTTCAAATGTATCATCTATCTCGGTACGAAATATAATTCCGATATTACCGTTCGAGACAATCGTCTCCGCGCGGTGAAATTAATTGAGAAACGACGCGCGCTCTCCCAGTCGCCAGGCCGGCCAGCGCGATATTTGCCATTTTCTCGCGCGGTCCATTAAAGAGAAGGTGGAAAATGTTATTTCGCGGACGGCCGGTGGCGGGACCTCTTTTTTTCCGCGCTTTCGCGCGACGGAGACGCGTTGTTCATTCTCCGTGCAACGGGACTCCGTCGTCATGCTATAATTCAGGAACTAGTTGGAACAAAAGCAGCTCACGTATCGTCCATCTGCCCCCTTTCACCCCTCCCCTCCTCTCCGTCTGTCTCTCAGCGGGCTTGTTTCGGAATCATCTGCGACACAGCCGTGGGCATCTTCCACCTGCTAATCTCGAGGAAAGCTGCACGTTCCGAGCGGCTTCCACCTGTTAGTCACGGGGGAAAGCGTGTAGTCACGGAGTTCCTCGTTGTAGACCGGAGCCCACATGCGCGTTGCATCGCTCTTCCTCTCGTGCCATCCGCGCTCTCTTGCTCGAGAACGAGAGAGAGAGAGAGAGAGAGAGAGAAAGAGACGGAGAAAGAGGGACGGACAGACGGACAGCTAGAAAGGAGGAGAGAAAGAAACCGCGCGCCGCGAGCGCATAACGCCGCGGCGGCTGTTCGGAAGAAAGTACACGCCGTTACCTTCGACGCATCGTTGCGCATCGCTCCTCGGAGCAACGGACGCGGAGCTGCAATCTTCCTTTCGCGCGCGAGTGAGTCCGCGAGCCTTCCGCGATTTCCAGCGGGGATTTCGTCAATTGCCGCACGCTGTCGCGCGCTCTGTTTCCGCGGAATGTCTAGCGTTCGCGAAATGAAAAATCGCCCGACTCGATTCATGAGGGCAAAACCGCGAGGAAAAACGCCGGATATCTACGACGTCGTTACGTATGCGCGTTGTGTTCGTCGTTGTTTTAATTAATTTATTAATTAATTTAACCTCTCTCGTGCGCGCGAGAGAGAGAGAGAGAGAGAGAGAGAGCATTCTCGCGATTTGTAACTTCAGGTGTTTTGTGTTTTTCGACGCGCGCGTCTCTCGCATTAGCCCTTTGTTTTCCGTCGACACAACAGACGCGCAATCCCTCGCGCTACTTCGCCTCCGGACGCTTTTTACGAGCTCAACGAAGGGATTTCCCTCCGGGGCATACCTTCTCCCTTGACCTCTTTGTTGCAACTCATTTTAATATAACGCAACTTCAATAATTACGGTTATTATAATAACGGCCGGAGAAGCGGTGGCGGTCGAAAACGCGGGGTTCGTCGTAGATACTACCGTGCGAAAACTTCCGACGAGACCTATTTCTCTTTCTCCGCGCGGAGAAACGCGAAATAAGTTGCCCGCGATATTCAAAGCCGTGATTTATTTATAATTTCAAAGCGCACCGATTTATAATCCAGAGACAGAGGATAATTCTTTCGCCAACCAACCCGCGTATTATCTAAAATTTATGCTATTCCGCGAAGAGTTATAAATAATAGCGCACTTTCGCACATAATATTTTTCTCGATTTTACTTTCAGTGATTAGGTTTTTTATTCTTGGCGCAAGGAATTTGCGCGAGTACGGACACACCTTGCGCGGGAATTAGAATATTTTTCTGCAAAAATATTCGAAGTAACGGTATTCGAGACTGTTCCGAATGTCCCTTTGGAACTTTGAACTTTCCTACATCCTTCGTGTCGCACTCGAAGAGTATCGATCCGCGGAATTGAAATTGAGCAGTCGATTAAAATTTCACAATTCGCTCGCGTTGAATTAAAACCGGGTGACGTTCATTCGCATCTCACGTCGATTTCCTTCCTCCCGTGTTATATACAAAACGCGTTGTCGCGATATTACGTATTGATACACTTCTAAACTTATATATCTGAGAAATCGAGCATAATCTTCTGCCGAACTGCGGCAAAACGGCGTCTCGCGCAGAGGCGGTCTCGAACTCTCCTCCGATTCGATTCCGAACATTTCCATCACGCGTTCTTTTTATTATTCGCGCGACCGTCGTAACCCCGTTCCAGACGCGCGAAGCGCCCGCGCTCGAAATTCCCCAAAGTAACAGCTATCCCTTCCTCGAAGGTGATCCGTGAGCACGTGCGGAAACTCCGACGCACCCCTATATCCCTTCGGCGCGTTTCGCCCCTCGCTCTACGGCGATCATCCCTTCGTCTCTCCCTTCGGTGAGTGCAGGCTCCGCTTTCCCGTCGCCTTTTCCGGCGAGTCGCGGCAACGCGAGGAGGGAGTCGTCGGCGCCCCTCCCTCCCTCCAGGCGTGCGTCTCTCGCCCCTCCGATCCCCTCCTCCGTCGAACGCGCGCGCGACCTGCTCCTCCGTGCTTCGTCGTGAGCGCTCGATCCAACGTGTGCTCTCTCCCTCCTCCCTCTCCTCTATTCTCCTTCTCATCGTCGTCGTCGTCCTCCTTCTCCTCCTCCTCCTCCACCAGCCACCCACTCATCTACCCCGACCCAGTGGCCCGCGGGCCACCTCCACCTCACCCTCACGGCGCGGCGACCCCGCGCACCCGTCTCACCGTCGTCGTGCTCGTTCATGCTCCGTCAGTCTGTCGGCAACCTGCGTACCAGTCGTGTCGCAGCGCTCACGTTAACAAAATTCTTAATTATTATTACACAATCCTTACTTGCCTTGACAACACTCGTTCGGTCGGTGGTGTGTTCTTTCTCGTTTTCGATTAAACGCGCGCGTTCTTTTCCTTTCTCGCCGTCCTACCGTCTCTCTACCACCTCCCTCCCGGAAACACCTCCTCGCTCTCGGTCTTTCGTCGTCGTCAATTACAACATACACACATACACACACGCTCTATCTCGCTCGCCGGAAGAAAACCGCCGTCGGGCAACACACGTTTCGCGCTCGCGCATGAAACTCGCCACGAAGAACTGCGGCCCTACGCGCGCACCACACGGGGCGCACCGATTGGAGTGACAGAGAGAAAGAGAGAGAAGGAAAGCAAGGAGAAATAAAGAGAGGAATACGTCAAAAGCAAGAATCTATCATCCGCGCGACCTTACGCGACCCGACGTCGCAAGGTGTCCACGAGTGTGTCGTTGATTATCCCTCTCCAGCCAGCCAGCCGGTGCGTGACACACCGGATCCTCGGTGCGCAACCTCGTCGTCGTCGAAGCGCGCGATCGCGCGAGCGCGCTCACGCAGTGAAGCTACCGCCAGGCGTAACGTCATCGGCACATTTGCTACACCCGGTGTATGGGTGGATTACTGTTCGTCGGTGGATGAAACATCGTGTCGGAAAAGAAACGTCGTCGTCGATCGCGTTCACCGGGTGCTGCCCTGCTCCTCCTCCGCGGCCACGCTGGTGTATCGATTGCTCTAAAATAGACGCGTGGGAACAACACCTGCAGGCCAGGCGTACACGTATACACATGCCGCTCGCAGGCGCATAAACGCGCAACAGACCACACACGCTCGTGCTTTCGACGTTCGCATACAGACGTACACGCACACACGTCCACATACATATATATATATATATATATCTATATATATATCTTTATATAGATATATATATACACATACATACATACAGCTCGTTCTCTCCTTCTCTCCCTCTCTCTCTCTTTCGCCGTTACGCTGCCACGACTCCCTTGCAGCGGCGTGTGACAGGTGCAACGACGGCGACGTCGTCGTAGGGTGGCCGGAGGTGGCGCTGGCGGACGAGCCGGTGGCGAAGAGCCGCAGCAGGAAGCGGAAGAAGAAGTGAATCGGGCGAGAGAACGCGGAGAGGAAGAAGAGGAGGAGGAAGAGGAGGAAGAGGAACAAGAAGAAGAAGAAACGTCGAGGAGGATACGAGCGGAAGGGGCGAAGGAAGAGGAAGAAGAAAGGGAGAAGCCAGAAGCTAGAAGGGAGAGAGAAGAAAGATCGGGTCAGGGAAGGAGAGGAGGCGTGGAGGAAAAGAAGGAGCAGGAGGAGGAAGAGGAGGAGGAGGCGGCTGAGGCCCCTGTGTTTCTCGCGAAGGGAAGGTTATTTTCCAGTGATACGTCCTGGAGGCGCCCGTCGTCTTCGCCGGTACAACCATAACGCCGCCCGCTTTAAAACGACCGAGACGGGACACGGTGGATTCGTCGCCGCCACCCGCTCGTACCGCAGCCCCCGGCAACCCCGGACCGTCCGGCAAACTTGCCTGCATAATGGACGCGCCGCTATCGCAGAGCATGGACTCCGTCAACACGGTGGCCACCGGCGAAGACGAGGTAGGTGTTCGAAAGTGTATATACCAAGGCGATGCGCAGCGTCGTCGCAGCGCTGCCGGCCCTACGCCGTGCACACACCATGGCCGAAGGGGTGGAATCCACCCCCTCTGTGACGCACTCCTTCTCCCCCTCCCTTCCCCGCCTCTCAGGCCCGTGTCTTGTTATGTAGCCCTGAACCGATTCGCGTTTTTCCGCGAGACCATAAGTACCCTTCCTCTCACCACCCTCTCGTTTCCATCCTTCGCGAAGGGACAGAGACTCGGCTCGGCTGTCGTTTTCTTTTCTTCCTTCCTCCTTACCATGCAGAGGTTACACCACTTGCTCACCCTCTTCGACCCTCTCTCCCTCTCGCACTCGCGTATTATCGCCATATTGGTCGGCTCTCCATCCCCCTTGCTCGCAGCACCCCCCGCGTCCTCCGTATCCGTCTGTCTCCCTCGCTCGTTCCGCTGCTCGCGCGTCATAGCGCGCGCAGGCGCGTACTCGGGTCACGCAGGCTGCTGACACACGCGCGTACCACCGCCGCGTGTAGAACGCCGCTCATTAATGGCACATCCGATGCGAGCTGGATGCAACGCGTGTACGCTCGAAATGGTCTAATGACGGCCGCGGTGAGAGTAGCGTAATTTCGAGGTAAACGGCCGTGGGTCTTTGAGAGAAAGAGAGAGAGACATGTCTGCCGAGGAGCAACCTGCAGCATTGTAATACTCGTCGGCGGGCTACGCTTCCGTGATAACGTACGACAACAATCTTCTGATCTGATTGCGTAACGTTTCACTCGCTCGTAAATCGCCCGCAGCGATCCTCCTGGAAAAACCGCAACGCTGGTAGGGAACTGTTCGGAAAGACGTATCATGATCGGCGCGGCGATCTCGATAATGATTTATTAAAGTTATTACAGCAAAGATGTCTCGTTCCGGCGAGAGACAGAGAGAGGAGACCGTTGACGTAGGCATTTAGGAAGCGAATTAATACGCATGGGCGTAATATCAGGCGCGTTTTGTAAAATCGATTGCGAAACGGAGAAGCGTGAAGCTAGCAATTATATGTAATTTCGTTACTCATTATGGCCGATGTAGGTATATATACACACACGGTGGCACAGCAATGAGAAAGACGCCTTCATCGACGTCCTTTGTTCTCCCCCGGTGATTAACCGTAACTATATAATCTTGCGCAATTTTTCGCGATTGCTCGTGACGCGTAGCCTTTGTGGAACGGGCAGCTGGCGTGACGCAACTGTTTGGAGTTGAAACAGTTGTAGCGACGCAACGTGCTGCACGCTCGCTCGCTCACAGAGCTGAAACCTGAAACAAATCGCATCTTTAATTTATGATAGGCGAGTGTCGCGCTGCCGATCTTCTAAGATCGTATCGCGCGCCGTGAGTGGGTGGAGGGGTGAGAAAAAGAGTGGAAGAGATACGATGACGGATATTATATGGGGTTATAATGCGCGCGAACTTCGTTTTACATTTAATTTTCTAACGGCAACGATGAAGTTTCTATATGTTGTGTCGCTACATATAACGCGAGCGCGTACTTGGTAACACAATGTCGGAGCGTCGGGAATGCAAGTGAAGTTCTTCTCGCGAAGAAACACGGACGCGAAAGAGAACGGGAAAGTCTCGCGAAAGGTGTAGTTATGGGCGTATTAAAATTTTTACGAGCTCCATTCATCGAGAATGTTTGATCCTTTTAATGTTTCACGGTATACAAGTCCGGCCCGCGAGCAAATTGAATCTTTGTCGTGCCTGGAAAATGACTTCTTGTGCCGCGTGGCGGAGGGAAGGGAAAAGAAGAAAATGATTATGCGGAATTTTAATATTCGCAATTAAGGATTTTATGGCGACGTTGACTGTGCGTACACCTCCCTGTGAAGTACGATAAAACGGAGAGATAGCTGAAACTCACCACCGAGCATTGCTTCGAATAAATATTGCAAAAGATATTTCGAGTTTGACCAATAATTAGAATTGCTTGAAAAAAATATGCGAGTGCTTTTTCATCGGTATGTTTGTCACGGCCCACGTGCTTGTCCCACTAGGTTCTTGTGCTATAAAATGTCAAGAGTACAAGATTATCGGATCTTTGTAATCGCCAAGTTCAAACATCCCGATCGTTCCCATCAGCAAACTAATTTATAAAATTACCGAATCCACTTTACCATCACTGATAACGAATTACTCCTCTCTTATCGATCGGACAAACAATGACACGACGGATGTCGCGAGAATATTAAGGGCATCACCAGAATGCTTGACTTACAATTTTAAGACAACGTTTCGTGCTCTTAAACCTTCCGCATCATATATCCGTAATCTTATTGCGTGGCAAATTATCATTTGTTTACTTTTTTTTTTATCATACAACGTTTTGTCAATCGCAAACAGAACGACCTTTTAAGACTTAAGAAACAAGAGAGTCACATTGTGCGTTACTTAAAAGACGAAGGTTTAAGGCGCAAAACACTGTCGTAAACCGATAATTCAGCAGTTCTCCCTGACGAAAAATAATCCGCGTTTAATTCACCAAGAAGCCCGTGAAAGGGGGAGTCGAGAAAGGGGACTCCAGAAGGCTTAAAATTTCGACAGCCCCCGACGAAGTCGGTCCTGGCGCCTCCTCGGCAAACGATAGCGGCGCGCAGCAGCAACGTTGCGCAGCAACATACTGTACGTCTCTCTCTCTCTCTCTCTCTTCCCCTCTTTCCCTCCCCTCGCCTTCTCTCCGTCTTTCTCTCTCAGCGGAAGGCGGGAATTCGATCGCGCGCCTGCTACGACAGTGTATACCTCGCAGGTGACTCGTTTTCGCGGCGCGCTCGATCGGACGGTTGCCTGCCTGCCCGTCCATCCGTCTGTCCGTTCGTTCGCCTGCTCGCCTGCCTGGCTCGCCAGGCTGACTTCCTTCCTCGCACAGGCAGGCGGCCACCTGAAAGAGTGACGCCGCCACGCCACACCACGCTCGCTATTGATTTTTCCGCGACTGTGCGAGGGCCACTGAGGGCCCGCCAGCGCACCACGCTATGTCACATCATACGGAAGGTGGATTACGCCTCGTGACGGCAACGTGGATACTCGAGACGCACGTATGTCTCTACGTGTGCGTACCTGCGTGCTTGCGCGCGCGTATGCGACATCATACGGTGCGGATGTATGGGTACGTGGGCGGCGACACACGCGCGCAGATGATTTGACTTAGGTCGCAGAGCATACCGGGTGGCGACCCCGACGAAGCGTAACCGACCGAAGGTCTGCATGCCTGCTCGCCTGCCTTCCGTTCTCGCCGCGGACGGTCAATCGATTTACATGTTTACGACGGGGTAAACCCTCGTGGGGGTAACCGCCGGCTGTTCCACGCGTTTGGCTGGGCGCTTTCGGGAAACTCCTAATTTCGAGCGTATTGTTTCCACGAGCGCGGAAACCGGACATTCTCAAGCCCGACGATCTCGGGCGAGTCTGCGAATTTGAACACGCGCGCAGCGTTGGGATGTCGTCTCTCCGCGTGTATGTGCGTGTATGTGGGTGTGGAAGTAAAAATAAAACGTCGTTCTCCGTTGGGATGGGATATGTTCTTACTCTCTCTCTCTCTCTCCTTCTCTCTCTCTTTCTCTCCACATTGTTCGCCGCTCGATTAATCCTTCTTCTACTTACCGATTCAATTACGGACAGGTATTTACCTTCGGTGATAAATTCCTTTCCGTTCTTTACTTCGGTCGCCCACATTGTGGCTGATTTGCCATGGGTTATCGTAGCGAGCAGGACGTATCGCCTGATTTACGGGTGGGAAATATCGTTTCCTCGACTTTACGCGTATGTACGGGCGTGTACAGAGTACGATATCAGATAGTAAATTAGTTACCTTTCACTTTTGGATCCCTCGACCGGCTTGACGTCGATTTTTCCTCCGTGAAAATTACCAGTAGTCTCGCGATATCTTTCCATATTTTGAGCGTTAAATATCACAAGCGTTAAACGTTACTTTCATCTTTAACGTTAAATATCGTTAAATATCAAATATTTTTACAGCCAGACTCCATATTACAAGTCTGTTGGAGTAAGACTCACTTGAACGAAGAATAAGCATTTCTCGTAGCTTAGCTGCCGAAGAGCTGTTTATCCTCGAGGATCGTTTCCAATTTAAGGATTATTGATTATTGATTCCTCTCACGATGCTCTTATTTCAAATTGACCGAGGGATCAGCAAATGAAAGTTACCTTTTGGTAGATTTGGGACACCCGATATACGGAAGTAGACGTGAATTATATATGCAATCTCCATGAGGGCCTACATATCAGTTTCAATCGATGCAAGCAAAGTGGTCGGAAAATGAAAAACGGAAATGAATATTGCACACTCGGTCGCTAATACGAGGTCTCGCGTGTATATGTATGTGTGCGTGTATGCATCGCATTTCGCTGTAAGAACAAATAAAGCTAACGGCGACCGAGTTTCCTAGTCGAGCAACGGGTTCCTGATCGATCGATCGTTCCTTCCGAGACGGATAGACGACGATGTAGGAATCCGGCTGCGCGAGGAAATAAGAATTTTCCTCGCCGCAACTTTTCAACGACAGCGGAAATTCCGTCGTGGTATCCCTCGATGTTTTAAATGGATACGGATTTTTTCACAGGGCACGCACGAAATATTATTTGAATATTTATTTATATATTTATTTATTTATTTTGTTCATTTATGAGAAAGCTTCTCTTTGATATACATAATTATAATAATTTGGGGGGAAAAATATATATATAAATAAAATTATAAGTGTACATATAAAAGAAATCGAAAGTTTTTTTTAATGAGAGTTCAAAATGAAGATAATAACATGAAATAAAAGTCAACTATACCATTAAAATTATTCGCAAATATATATATATATATATATAACCCATTGATTGGTTTAAATTCATCATAAAGTATGTAATACTTTAATATGAAATGAAGCGAATATCCGATCTAAGATTTAACGGGAATATTAAATGCGAATATAAATGTATAAA